GAACTTATATGATACACAAATATCTAGGATATTAATGCAATCGATAGAAGTTCATACACTAACTGTCTTGGTCTATATTTTAATCCAAAGATTAATGTTTAATTTAAGATAATTAAATTTAATAGCAAAAGTTTATTTATTGAATCAGAAGTTTAAAGGAATCTTTGCTTATTCAGTAACCAAAAATATACACCATTTCTGTGTTTCATTTCAAAGAAGAGTCAGAGTTTTAAACAGTTGAGAATTTATTACTAACACTTTTAAAAATGACAATTTAGAAATGACAATTTTTAACAGCTTTGATGTTTAAACTTGTTTTTAAAGCAAACCTGTGACTGAATGGAAACTAAAATGAAATGCGGGGTTTTGGATGCGTGAATGAATCTCAGAAGGTTTCTTTCAGAGAGAGAAGTGCGTTCTGGATGAAACGATGTTTTGCAGCTAACTCAGTTGTTTATTAGAGAAAACAGCATCGGACACCATCTGTGTGCTACCTCACCCATCAGAGGACCCTTTGTGTGGATCCGGAGGTCAAAGGAGGATGTTGTCAGCCTCAGGGTACTCGGTCCGGTAGAGAAGACCCAAGTGGAACCGACTCTCTGGTCCAAAGATGTCGCAGGGTACACGGTGTTGTGCATCTGGCTCAACTCTGAAGGAGTTTTGCGTCAGGTGGTTACAGTTGCGTTTATTCGAAGCAAGACTATCGGCATGACAGAATGCTTAGTAGAGACTTGGGCGGCCGTCCCTCGTCTCCTGGTATGGTTCAAGAACTGGCTTGGGCTGCGGGAGACTTGGTTTTAACAAAACCTCAGAACACGCCCTCTCAGCGTCAGAAAGCTTGTCATGAAATAAAGACATGTGAGGTGGTTAAACTTTACCCTGGATTCACCTTCTGCGTGCGGTGGTTAAAATGCAAGCGACCTTCTGGTTTACTGAACACACATTACTGATTATAACAGTAATTATTATTACACAAAGCATAATAAGTCATTTCAGTAATTCAAATACATTTATACTGAACCAAAATTTATGATGATTGTAATAAACAGTAACAACGTCAAAGAAATTATTCAAATTATTATTTAAAAATTATTATTTTGAAATCTTGAAATCTTGGGACGGAACAGCAGCAGATAAAGATGGTGTTTCAGCAGACATCACGGCTCCTTGCGGATAATCTGTGGGGCAAAGTTACAGTTCGACCCAGCTTGACCCAGCTGGGAAAATGTGACCTTTGTCACAAATTTGAGGCCATTCATGACGCTACACTTGAAGCAGTCTCAACAGGTGCAGCATCTCTTTCACTCAGCTCACCGTCGATTTGAAACAAACTCACTCACAGACAAGTGGGCATTTCATTAGCAGGAGTACCGTTGTGTGTGTGTGTGTGTGTGTGTGTGTGTGTGTGTGTGGCAATTAGCTCCCGTAATTGTAAGGGGCCTCACATTTCTTTTATTTGCGGTTTTCTTTTATTTACTTTGACAGGCTGAGAGCTGCTGGTGGTGGGGGCCACGTCGGGGTGACGGTTCCAGTTGGGTTGCTGTGTTTGCATGTTTGCAGTTCTTCACTTCACGTTGGATTGGTTGCATGAGTGCCTGGGGTGTGGTGATGTTACACCCCTACAGTGGGCTCAGCTAGGAAGATGAGGAGGGGGCAACATAAAATGGACAAGTCTAACGGAAGGTCACCCTTAAGGGGGGGAAAAAGGCATGACAAAGCAAAACCAAACTCAAATTGTCCTTGTCTTCAAGGGTTTATTAAAAGGGGCTGGAAAATCCACAAAACCCTCACCTAGAAATTAACCAAGGTGTATCTAAAAGACAAACCAAACTAAGATTACCAAATTAACTGAGAACGTCCAGGCACCGGAAATCCTAAAATTACTCTCCTTTATTAAAAGGAGACTAAAAATCCACAAGGGCAAAACCCCATCGGGTAATTAACCAATGTTTGTCTAAAAGACGATCCAAACTAAAATTACCAAACTAACTGAAAATGTCCAAACTTCAAAAATCCTACCTACTCTCTCTCTAGCAGTAAGCACAAAACTGCAAAAGGTTTAGACTGAGCCAAGAACCGCAAGGGAAGAGAACACCATTTGCTGCTGCAACCCACAAACTGATGAGCTCCAGCTGGCTGCTTTTGAAGGGCCAGCTGATGAGGTGAAAATGGCCCAGCTGGCCGTGACTGCTGCCCTGATGCTGTCCATGGTCCTGGATGAAAGCCCAAGGGCAGCTGTCCAAGGTGCTGCACTGCTGAACAGGGAAACGGCACACCCTGGGCCAAGAAAGCGCTGCACACACACCGGGGCTCCAAAACGGCGGCGGCCGTAACAGGTGAACTTTGGGTTTGTTTTCTTTAGTTTATGGTTCCGTCTCTACTGAGAGATTCGGCATCTCCTCAGTAGCCTCAGCCTGCCTTTTTATAATTATTTTATTGCCATTTTGGCCTTTTAGTAATGAGTTTTAGCCTTTTTAATCAAGTTTTATTTATATTTCTGTTACTAAATTTATGTCATTTGGGAACACAGTCTCAAGCTAATTTTTCATAAGAGTGGACCTACGTGTCTTTAGTTTTGTGTTCTTGGGTATCAAGGTGGCGTTGTTGTTATAGTAAGAAACCTCACTTGTTTCGTCCCAGTCTAAGAGGAACACGTAGATTGGTTCCAGCCTAGCATTGCACTAGAGCCGTGTGTATCCCTAGCTCCTGCCCCCGTAATAGGCAAACAGAGCGGCAAAAAATACTCTTTTTCTCCTCTCTTTTTTTCGTGTGACTCAAGGAGGGCGATGCACTATCACCATCTATGGGCCAGCCACCCCTGATTATTTCACTCCACCAATCCGAATGGCTGTGTGCATGCACGCCAATCGGACTGACGATCGGACAAAACCACCTCTCAATCGGAATGAAATTAAATTAGACCAAATTGGATCAGAATATTCTGATAAGTTTACATGCAGAATTTTTGATCTGATTGGCCGTTCAATCTGATTACTTGTGCCCATGTAAATGTGGCTACTGATGGAAATTGTGTGTGTTGTGTTATACCAGACTGCTGCCAATAAATACATGTTGAAGAATAATATGGTGCCATAATCTGCTTCTTGGTGAATGTGGAGTACAAGAGTGATGACGCAAATCATCTAGACCACTGAACAGGTCAGAAGAGGATCCGTTACATTAGCTGTTCTCCCTTTATTCCGTGTGGATGGCTTGATGAGTCATTTAAAGCTTAAAATAATATGAAGGATTCTTTAACCTAAGATGGGTGAGTTAAGTGTTTTATTAACGGAACAAAACTGAAAAGGCAAATAACCATTAGGCTTGAATGGACACAAGTTCAGATTCTGAACACACCGACAACAGTACAGGGTGTCAGGTTCTGGGGTTGTGGGTTGTTCACATTTTCCTTCACAGGTTGTTGGGAGGGCTATGGAGACCTTTAGGGAGACTCCCTCCAGCTAATCACCTCTGCTGCAGAGTCAACCTGCACACCTGCAGCCAATCACGCAATCAGACAGGAGGAATAAAGGAGCCAGGGAACCAGCAACTCAGCGCCAGATTGTTTGCCTTAGTGGTAACATCCAGCCACCTGAACCCGTTCTAGTTTTTGAAACTAAATCTAGTCTTTTCCTGAACCCTCTGTTTGTCCTTGCAGGATTCCTAAAACCCAGCTCTGGCTCACACCTTCACGTTGAAGGCTCCAGCCTCTCAGACTCGCCTCTGCAGTCCCCTACTGTTCTCCAGAACCACGGCTGAATCCTCCCTGGCCCTTGGATCTCCTCCTGTCCCCCTCCTGTGCGTCTCCTGTCCACCTTCCAGCATCGCGCTGTAAGCTATAGATATATATTTTATGCTCACAGCGCTCCTATCACCTCCAAGCTCGTTCAGTCACTGCTCCTCCCGGAACCTCCTTATCTGCCCACAGCCCCGGCACAGGCTCACCTCTCCCACGCTCTGCTGCAACCTAATCCCAGTAAGAACTCTCCCCACCACATTATATATTCCTCCTCATCCCGATCATCATTTCATGTGTCATTTCTTCCAGTGGCGTGGTCGAAACACCCATCATTAGTTTTCATTTAAATAGTTTTCATTATTGTGCGCACACACACAAACTGGCCCAAGAGCCACTTCCTTGTCTGGGGACAGTGTATCAATCTTTCAGACCTATAAAACATCTTAAATGGTCTAAAATAATACCTGTCTCATTATAACCTGACTGCAAAGCATGCTGGATTAACTTTTACTTACTTCAGAGGACAGATCACCAGGATGCTGCACCATCATCTTGTGCCTTCTCCCAGTTTGAAGCCTGCTTTTTCCAGTCAGAGAATTACTCTGCCATTTATTAGTCATTTCTTTTAAACCTTTGACTATGTTTTCATGGCTCACAAACACACGTCTAAACAGTTTTAGATGATTAAACATTCTGTAGGTCTATCTTTTATAACTACACAATCCTGAGATACATTTTTCCACAGAAAAGCATATTTGTCCCGTCAACACAAATTTAGACTAATTCCAAAGGAAAATCTAATTTCCCAGCTTCCACCCAGCATTCAAATGCACCACGTATGCACAAATCAGTCAGGTGAGAAAATAGTCTCAAAAGGATTTTTGCACTTGTAAACTGATCTGTGTGTAATGTAGTCTTCTCCGTGTGTACCAGGTGATTTGTGTGTGTGTATTCAATGATTTGTGTGTCTAAGAACTGAAGTTACACACGAAAATGTAAACACAAGTTACAAATCAAGAGTCACACACACACACACACACACACACACACACACACACACACGCACAGATCCTTACAAACTTTTTTTTCTCCCCATAAAGGAGATGGGTGTGACTTATGCTCTCTAAATAAAAATACTGTTTATACGTTCCTTATGCAACTGCAATAAATATACATTTGATTTGTTTTCCTTAAACATACAGCAGTAGTAAATAATTGCATCTATGAATAACCCATGAAATAAATACCAGAATTCACTAAATCTGGAGAAATATATATTGATAGTAATTTATTCATAGACACGATATTCAAACACACAACAAAAAATGAATAAAAGTAGCTTTGAAATCTGTATCACAGAAAAATAGATTCCTGAAATAAACACATTTTCTACCCAGCTGCTTCCTAAACCAGCCTGATGCTGTTTGGGATCTCTGGGGGCCTTCACTAACCTCTTATGGAGCAAATCATTATTTAACACTGGTCATCTCTTCAGTAAAAATTCTTCTAATGTACAGCGCAGAAGTAAATAATAGGATGTCTTTTGAATAACTTGTTGCAGGGCCGATTTTTCAATGTAATATTGATTAGAAGGACATGACTCTTTAAATGTTATTTGTAATTTTGTTGAATAAAAGTAGTCAGAAACAGCTGTGGGTACATCTGGATGACACAACCTTACTGAAGCTGTATCAGTTTCAGTGTTAATCTCAAACTGGTTCCAAAAATATCGTCAAACATGACTCAACATTTCCTACATTTCCATTATGCAGTTCAAAAGCAAAACATTGAAATTTTCTGAAGGAAAGCAGTAGCAGAAGGGCTGATGAGTTTTCTCTGGACAACATGCTAGTGTTTAGGGTTTATTCATACAAAACGTGTCACATATAGGCTGGTAGTTTGTGTGTCGTAGCAATAAAAGCATTTAAACACATTTTGATTGAATATTCTTCATAATTTTGAGTGTGTGTTTGACTTAGTAGAGTCCAGTCCTGGTCCAAGAAGAACACTGTCCTGCGTGTTTTGGATGTTTTCCTTCTCCAGCTCACCTGATTACACCAACACGTGATTTACAGCCTTCTGCAGAACTGAAGGACACGATAAACAGGTAATGCAACCATTGGACCAGATTTGTTGGAGCAGGAGCTTCACCTGTTTAGCTGCTATCACTGAGAATAGCCAGAATGGATCTGGCCTGGGAAGCCAGTTTACCGCTGCTGTGATCCGTCAGTCTACTCAGGCTCTCCTTCATATTAACAGAGTCAAGCTCCTCCCTCATCACACCTGAAATCACAAAATCAGAAAGACAAAAACATAAAACATAAACTGTAGTGGTGATCAAAAATACACACACACACACACACACACACACACACACACACATATATATATATATATATATATATATATATATATATATATATATATATATATATATATATATATATATATATATATATGCATATGTATACTGTATATACACTCAACAAAAATATAAACACAACTCCTTTGTTTCTGCTCCGATTTTTCATGAGATGGACTTAAAGATCTTAAATTCATTCCAGATACACAATATTACCATTTCTCTCAAACATTGTTCACAAATCAGTCTAAATGTGTGATAGTGAGCACCTGTGCTTTGCTGAGATAATCCATCCCACCTCACAGGTGTGTCACCTCAAGATGCTGATCTGACATCATGAGTAGTGCACAGTTGTAGCTTAGACTGCCCACAATAAAAGGCCACCCTGGAATGTGCAGTTTTTTTGCTTTATTGGGGGTCTGGGGACTCAGAACCGGTCATTATCTGGTGTGACCACCATTTGCAACACATCTTCTTTGCATAGTTTATCAGATTGTCAATTGTGGCCTGTAGAATGTTGGTCCACTCCTCTTCAATGGCTGTGCAAAGCTGTTGAATATTAGTGGGAACTGGTACACTCTGTCATATTCGCCGGTCAAGCTCATCCCAAACATGCTCAGCGGGTGACATGTCCAGTGAGTATGCTGGCCATGCAAGAGCTGGGACATTTTCAGCTTCCAAGAATTGTGTACAGATCCTTGCTACATGGGGCCGTGCATTATCTTGCTGAAACATGAGGTGATGTTTATGGATGTACGGGACAACAATGGGCCTCAGGATCTCATCACGGTATCTCTGTGCATTCAAAATGCCATCAATAAAATGCACCTATATTCTTCGTCCATAACAGATGCCTGCCCATACCATAACCCCACCACCACCATGGGCCACTTGATCTACAACATTGACATCAGCAAAGCGCTCACCCACACAACGCCACACAGGCTGTCTGCCATCTGCCCTGAACAATGTAAACCGAGATTCATCCGTGAAGAGAACACCTCTCCGATGTGCCAGATGTCATCGAATGTGAGCATTTGCCCACTCAAGTCTGTTATGGCGACGAGCTGGAGTCAGGTCAAGACCCCGATGAGGACGACGAGCATGCAGTTGAGCTTCCCTGAGACGGTTTCTGACAGCTTGTGCAGAAATTGTTTGGTTATGCAAACCAATTGTTTCAGCAGCTGTCTGAGTGGCTGGTCTCAGACGATCTTGGAGGTGAAGCTGCTGGATGTGGAGGTCCTGGGCTGGGGTGGTTACACGTCGTCTGTGGTTGTGTGTGTATATATGTATATGTATATATATATATATATATATATATATATATATATATATATATATATATATATATATATATACAGAAAGGGCAGTATTGGGCAGGTGAAGACGTTAAAAAGTGCAGAATAGAGAAGCAGGAAGGACGACATCACTTCCTTCTTCGAGTTTGTGAAAAACTAAATTGGCTGCTTGGCAAAATGAGATGGCTCTTTTAACATTAGTGGCTTCACACACGATGGTTTGATTCACCAGAACTTTATCCCAAAGGGATTTTGATCTGATTTGCATTCTGTCGCTGCAGTGGGCTTGCAGATAAAGGCATTTGAATTTAAATTCAGTTGCGTTTATCTCCGCGGAGCTTAAATTTTAGCAGTGCTAACGTTGTCTGGTGTGACTATTAAGCCCTTTGGCTGACGCAATGCCTTTATTGATACCGTGACTCTCATCTTAGTATAAATTCGTCTCTGAGAAGAAAGTAAGGAACCTTAGTGTTTTCTTTGACCAGGAAATGTCATTCAAATCCCACCTTAAACAGGTTTAATAGGATTTCCTTTTTCCACCTTCGGAATATTGCTAAGATTAGAAGCATCCTTTCCAGGAGTGATGCTGAAAAACTAGTTCATGCATTTATTACATCAAGACTGGATTACTGTAATTCATTACTCTCAGGAAGTCCACAAAATGTAGTTAAGTCTTCAGCTTGTCCAAAATGCTGCAGCTAGAGTTCTGATGAGGATTAAAAAGAGAGATCATATCTCTCATGTCTTAGCTTCCCTACATTGGCTACCTGTTAAATTCAGAATAGATTTTAAGATCCTCCTCACATATAAAGCTCTTAACAATCAATCTCCATCATACATCAGTGACCTGATTGTTCCATATGTTCCTAACTGAGCACTTCGCTCTCAGACTGCAGGTTTACTGGTGGTTCCCAGAATATCTAAAAATAGAATGGGAGGCAGATCTTTTAGCTATCAGGCTCCTCCCTTGTGGCACCAACTCCCAGCTTTAGTCCATGAGGCATAAACCGTGTCTACTTTTAAGACTAGGCTTAAAACATTTTTATTTGATAGGGCCTATAGTTGAAATCTGATGTTAGTCCAGATCTGGACAAGTGGGGGAGTAGAGGGAGGTGGAGTGTACAGTCGGTAAAGACGGCTCTCCCTTGCCCTGCCTCCAACATGCCTCCATCTAAAAGGCTAGGTTATCCAGAGTTATCTCTGTAGTTATGCTGCTATAGGCTTAGACTGCAGGAGGACATACTGACCACTTTTCACACTCTACTACTTTCTTCTACAATTTGCTCTTTAACTGTATTATTTCCTGCTATTTCAGCTGTTAACTTTATTTTTTTCTATAAGTGTTTTTCTTCCCAGAAGAAGCTACAATGATGTTCTGCTGAGCTATGGTACCCTCATGGAGAGGGCCATCGACACTGTTGCTAACATTTTACTTTCTTTGCCATGGAATGTGCAACTACTAGTTTACCCGTTTAATTATAGATTCACTAGGATAAATACAATAAAGTTTATCTCTAACCAAATAGAATATTTACTAAGAAATCACATTGTAACCATAAAAACACTACTTGGTACATATGGTGTGTGTGTGTGTGTGTGTGTGTGTGTGTGTGTGTGTGTGTGTGCTTGCATGTGGGCTTGTATTTGTACCCTTGTGAAGACTGGATTTGGGATATTTACTAACCTTCTTACGACCGATGGTCCTTTTTAGGACCAAAACCCGGTCCTAATACAGAGTACTCCCTAGGGGTCAGTTTTACAGATAACATATGAATTGTGTTTTTGTTACAGATAACTTTAGGAATACACTGGTTGGGGTTAGGCATAGTGGACTCACTAAAATGAATGGAAGTCAATACAAAGTCCTAACATGGGTACAAATACAAGAATGTGTGTGTGTGCGCGCTTGGTGTGCGTGCTTGTGTGTGTGTGTGTGTGTGTGTGTGTGTGTGTGTATGTGTGTGTGTGTGTGTTGGACAAACAAAGACACACTAGAGTTAGCCAGGGTGCAGATGAGACCCAGTGCACTGAATTTGACTTCAGCTGCTCCATTGGGATCATCCAGGATACTCTTTAGGGTAGGAACCAGCTCTGCCTCCTTAAGCGGGTCCCTCATCGACACTAGAGGGTTCAAAAACACCAATAAGAATATGGGTTAACAAAGTGTGCTAGTTTAATGTTTCCTTTTCAAATTCAGTTCCTAACTCACAACAGTGAACACCCAAATAAGGTTGTGGTTTTAGTGGCACTGAGGAACAATTTGTCTGCTACCATGGTTGTTTTGTTAAAAGGTTCTGCCACAGCTTTGGATTTATCCAGACAAAGACATCAGAATGAATGTGTGTGTGTGTGTGTGTGTGTGTGTGTGTGTGTGTGTGTGTGTGTGTGTCTGATAATAGTATTTCCCTGATTTAACGTTTTATAATTTTTCGTGTCTCCTTTGTTGATAATAATTTACAAAGCAGGGACCTCATATTTCAAATGTACTTACACACTGATCTGTGTGTATTTTGTATGTAGGAGCAATTTTACACATTGTCTGGTATTTACCATCTTGTACTTGTGAGTAGAAATATTCCTAAATACAACAACAGCTATGACCACGCGTACAAACAGCATCAGGTGGTAGAACATTGGAACCGAAACACTGAAGGTCTCAGTCATTCACAAATTGCCCCACAAACCTGTGACCAGCGAGAATATGATGTTGCATGGCTGATCTTATTTTAGTGGAGCGCGCGTGTGTGTGTGTGTTTGCTTTGTCGTCATCCCCAGTGAGTCATGGTGGATGGCTGCTTATACAGAGCCAAGATCCTCGGGAGGTTTCTACCTGTTAAAAGGGAGTTTTCCTCTCCACTGTCGCTGCATGTTTGCTTAGTTTGAGGATTGCTGTAAAGACTCTGACACTAGTCAGTGACTCGATGCAACTTGCTGGGTTTTCTTATGTAAGAAATTTAACTAACTGGCATTATGAACATATTGAGCTAACAAATAAATACAGGATGCAATAAATGTTTACAAGGCTGAATTTGGACCATTACATCTAAAAGAAAACGTACAACCAGTGATTTTTTTAATTGTTTATATGAATGTACAAATTTTCAAAGTATTAACCTCACAGCAAACAAGTAGAACAATATAATAAACAGGCTTTAGTAGTTAGGCATTGTGCACACAGGTGCTTTGTGTCCTGGTGCTGGTGGTATCTAGGTCTCAGAGTTCCTGTCCTGCCGTCTTCTGTTGTCCTCAGGATACGGCAGGACTTTCCGGATGATGAGGGAGGGGCAGTATGTGGGCTTCAAACTGGTCCTGGATAACAGTGGGAGACCTCCGTTGTCTGAATACTGAGACCAGAAGATTAGTGGGATGCTGATCTTCTCTACCTCATCTAACAGAGTTGGTTCAGAGAAAACTTTTCCAAAGACCAATTCCATGATGTCATCTCCATATTCTGCAATGATAGACAATAACTTTAATCACATATTTTGTTTACAAGTAGCTTTAGGAAAGTTGGTTCTTTAGCTTTCATGTTTATAGTAACGTTAGTGTTGTATTGGTTCATCTTTTACTTTGTTCACAAGTTCACTTTGCTGCAGTGACTTTATATTTTCCTACAAATGTAATAAAATAGTGACACTAAAATTATACAAATGATTCCTTATGAAAGGAATCACATAGAGAGCAGTGCTGATAGACTTACTGCATGCTGCAGCTGTTTTTATAGGCTACCTGTTGCTGAACTTGGGGAAAGTTATTCTGTAGATGTCCAGATCAGATAGTTGTTTACAGAAAATAATGTAATTCTATCATTTCCAAACAGACCCGTAAATCTAAAGTAAAGTTTGCCAACATTTTAGAGTGATATAAAGCTTACCGCTTTGCTGCTGTGTCCCGTTGCTGCCACATTCAGATGGAAATGACTCCTTTTAGACGAAGCACTCGGTACTAGCCACTAGCCTGGGAGATACAACGCACGCACACACACACACACACACACACACACACACACACGCACGCACGCACGCACACACACACACACACACACACAGAAACACACAACTTTTTTCTTCAGTTTTTTTAGCAGTAGTGTCATCAGCTCCTGGGTTTAAATACTGCCACACCACCCTTCCTTAAAACGAGGAACAGTTTAGAGCTGTGTGTGGCTAAAATAACCAGACATTCTGCATTTTTCCAATTGGACTACAAAAATCTTAGCGAGAAGAAAAAATGGCAGATTGGCTCTGTGTTTGGCCAGAGGGCCATGACCATATTTGGTAGTTATCGTGATGACATAAATTTCAGATGTATTAGGTATTTTGAAAAACTGAACACGTGGACAAATATGCCCAAAACTTAATTCTAAATAGCAACTCTAGTGAATAATATAAGCTTTTATGTTCACTTAGACACTTAAAATGTGAAACGCACTGTTAATGGATTTAAAAAAGTGGGTTTTTCATGTTATGTCTCCTTTAAATTTCTCAAATTGCATTCAGACTTGTTTTCATTACTGAGCTCTATTGTGGCTTATTATTATTAAAATTGGAGAATCCGATGAAACAGATGGTTTGCCATAAAATTTAAAGCGGTCCCTCGTTATTTACGCAGTCATTTAAGAAAGTCTCAAATTTTTGAGGAAATGCATCTTCAAAGTCCTCGTGCCTGGTCTCACAAGGTATCAAACAGGAAACCTTTAACCAACACATGGGTCTGGTGCTGGATGGAGGAAGAATAAATGTAAATTGTTCTGTCCATCTATCTTTGAATTCAGTTCAATTCAATTCAATTTTATTTATATAGCGCCAAATCATGACAAGAGTCATCTCAAGGCACTTCACATAATAAACATTCCAATACAAGTCAGTTCAATAAGCCAATCAGAAAAAATGTTTCCTACGTGAGGAACCCAGCAAATTGCATCAAGTCACTGACTAGTGTCAGTGACTTTACAGCAATCCTCATACTAAGCAAATATTTGGCGACACTGTTGAACCGTCTATTTTCCACTTTTCTTTTATCTGAGAATTTAGACCACACTTTTTTTTTACATCTGAAAAACTGCAGAGGAAAAATCAAGGAAGGAGCAGCTCAGAGTAAAAGTAAAAGGTGTGGCTCGCTCAGATGCACAGTGTGAGAGACTGTCTATAACACGGATAAGACTGAACCGTTGCTCTGTTGTGGAGCTGCCATGAGGGCAGTAGTCCTCCTGTTATTATTTAGATAGCATAACGGTACAATACCGCACTGGTAAGGTGAAAGCATTGCAACATGATGGCCTGAAAATGGAGGTTTGCAGGCCAGGTACGGACCGCCTATTGAGGGACACTGATCTACAGTGTATCATTCATCCACGCACACTGACGGTGATGAGCTATGATGTAGCTACAGCTGCCCTGGGGCTCACTGACAGAGGTGAGGTTTCTGAGCACAGGGGCCACCGGTCCCTCTGACCACCACCAGCAGGCAAGTAGGGTTAAGTGCAGTGGCGGCTCGCCCATAGAGGGCGCCCTCTAGCCTCACAAGATGAGGAGAAAGAAGATAGGTATCACAAACTATTTTAAAAACCATGAAAATTAAACTAAACAACCTATTCATCATACAGACTATAGGTGCAGTGTACAATCTACATGGAATTTAAAAATGTTGTTTACACTTTTACGATGACCACATCGTCTTGTGACGTATTTCCTGGTTTTTTTGGGTGCAGCAATCTCTACCCTTGACCTACGCTAAATGGTGCAAGCGCCCTGATCAGTTTTTAATAATAATAATAATAGATTTTATTTGTAACGCACATTACATTTCAATGAAATCTCAAAGTGCTATAGTAGGAAATCAGAAACAATGTATGGAATAATTAAAAACAATGAATAAAAAATACATAAAACCATACAATGCTACGTTAACACATGTTTAAGTTTATGTTTATGTTTATTTATTTAGCAGACGCTTTTATCCAAAGCGACTTACAATTTATATCCTGTAGGGCATGTTGTTGGCATGGTAAAACAACAGCAATACCAATCAAGTTTTTATTACGAGGAGCCAGAAAAATAAGAAATGTGGCATCAGAGACTTATAAACACTATCCAGCAGGTAAAAAAAAAAAGAACTTGCTCAGTGTGATGTGGAACATTGGATTACACAAACCAAAGGGCTATTTCTACTATAACACGGATTATTATGACCAAAAATAAGCAAAGCAAAGACTGATTTTATGCATTTCAGTCCATTAACTGTCATGGGTGATTCTGCAGGTTGAGTGCTTTGCAGTCTTGTTTCTGGTTTTATTGTATTTCTGGTACTTCCTGTTTTATTTTGTGCATTCACTTCCTGTCTCATTACAGGCAGCTTCACGACATGAGGCTCCTCACTAATCTGCCTCATGTCTTGCACCTGGGTCCTGGCTTCTCCATTTAAGCGTCTTTGCAACAGTTTCCTTTGCCAGTTTGTCTTCTCCAGTTGTGTGATGTGAACCTGCTCTCAGAAACACTTGGTAAAAGTGTATTCAGTTAGATTTGGACTTTTCAGTTGTGTTGTACTCCAGGAATCCCTTCTGCTGTTAAAACTGTGTGAGCTCTGCATTTGAGTCCTCTTTGTGCTTTGATATTAACCCTCTCACTGTCCTATCGGGTGACCCCTCCGGGAAAGGTGATTGTTGAGCACAGTGTTGTTCTCGTTAAGGAAAATGATGACGAATTGATTTCATTGATGCTCCTTTTTTTCATAATGAAAACGAGACGCTGACGAGCTAAAAATAGCTCTTTGGTGACTAAAACACGACGAGACGAGCAGGAGTTTTCGTTAACGAGCCGAGACTAGACGGAAACTATGCTCAAAATGCACATTTCTGCCTGTCTCACAAAAGTTTAAATCAACAGCGCTGCTGCTGCCTGTGGCCCAATCTCAACACTCGCACTGCGCCCTGCAGACTTCAGCCAAGTGCACTTGGAGAAAGTGTGCTGTGAGGCTGCCTGTCCACTCCAGTGCATAAGCGAATGCAGTCTAACATGTCACAAACATGACAAAGGCTACCGCGCAACAGGAGGAATATCCCACATCCCTTTTGTTGTAGAGCAGGGGGTGTCGAACTCCAGTCCTCGAAGGCCGGTATCCTGCATCTTTTTGTTGTTTCCCTGTTCCGACACAGTTGAGTCACCTGTGCAGCAGCTCATCAGGCTCTTCAGAAGCCTGGTAATCACCAGCTGATTGAAATCCGATGTGTTGAAACAGGGAAACACCAAAACATGTGGAAAATCGACCCTCGAGGACCAGAGTTTGACACCTGTGCTGTAGAGTAAAACTGCTGTGTCATGATATGGCATCTAATATATTTAGTCTGCTTCACCTGCCAGGACAGGACAGGTTAAAAAAGAAAAAAAAAAAGCTTTACATAGTATATTGTATAATTTCAAACATATGTCTGTTGTAATAACTTGCAGTCAGAGGTCACAGGGCTCAGGGGACAAGATCAGACCTAGAGACATCTGAAGTGTCCCCTCCTGTCAAAAGGTCTGCAATGGATGAACTGGATGGTGGGCTCAGAAACAAGCCAACATTGCAGGAAGAAGATACCTCTTGGACGGCAGTGAACTGCATTTAATTTGACCGATTCACTTTTCTGGTGAAAGCCTGATGAAAACTTCTATCCTCGTATTGCCAAGTTTGTAAAATGCTGCCTCTCCAAACCAACTACCTCTGCCCCCAGTGACAGGATATTTTCTGCAGATGGAGACATTGTTATGCACCAAATGTTGAAAGCCAACATATTAGTGTTGTAGTTTCCTAAAAAAAAACTTACATTTATTGTATCAATGTTTATTTTATCTTAGAATATTTTGCTGCAAGTAAAGTTTATTTTATATAAGTCGGACCTGTTCACACACACACACACACACACACACACACACACACACCAAGCGCGCGCACACACACACACACACATTCTTGTATTTGTACCCATGTTAGGACTTTGTATTGACTTACATTCATTTTAGTGAGCGCGCACACACTAACCATGAAGTTAAAACTAAGATACATGTGGACCTTGGTTTTACCACAGATTATAGTAAATCTTTCTGTAGCTACAACCAGAAACCGAAGTTGGTTTTGTCTGACCAGCTAGGCTTCGGTGTGTCTTTCTTATAAACTTAGAAAGGCCTTTACCTATGTCGATGGCAGACGCTATTGCCAGAGCAACCAAGGCTTCGTTCTGCATGATGACATGCTCACTTGTTGCCATAGAGATGAGATGTTGAACGCCATCTGCTCTGGCGACAGCACAGACAATCTCCTGTCAACACAGTGAAACAGCTCATCAGATTGGTGTAAACGTGCAAAAGGAACAGTTTGGTCACATTAATGTTTCAATGTTAAAAATGAATCTTACAATAATCTAAAGTCTATAATCCTACCAGAGCTGTGACCAAGTCAATGCTTTGTAAGTCACAAGTAAGTCACAAGTCCTTCCAGTCAAGTCCAAGTCAAAGACAACCAAGTCCAAGTCGAGTCCAAAGTCAATGATGTGGAAGTCCAAGTCCTTAACTTTGAATTTTCAAGTCGTATTCAAGTCATCTGTCCAACTTCAATTTAATGAAAAGACAATGATAATGAATACATTCCAGAAATAAAGCTTCTTAAAGCTTCATTTATTTGCTCAAACAAGCAGAAAGTGCAACTGAAACTGATTATAAACAAAGTGCTGCTGCATTTAGCAGTATATCAAACCCAGAACGAAGAATGATTCATGATTTTTGTCCATGTCAAGCCACTTTTGTGCTAAAATATCAAATATGCTCAACTCATCATCAAGTCAACAGAAGCAAGTCGATTTAAGTCGCAAGTCACTGGCGTTCAAGTCCGAGTCATGTCGTAAGTCTTTATAGATTTTATCAATCAAGTCAGAAGTCGTTAAAATAATGACTAGAGCCTGACTCGAGTCCAAGTCGTGTCTCGAGTCTACACCTCTGAATCTTACCCATCCTTCCTGGATGGCCTTGTTTAGAGATATAGAAGTTAGGGCTAACTGAACTGATGAGCTAACCTAACATCGTGTGTTTTCAGATGTAAGGTTTTCTTAAGCATTTGCCTGCCATGGGTGTTACATGACACATGTTTTTACAGGGAAAAGTGTTTCCAATAAACAACTATGAAACCAATGCATGGGTTTATGGGTGTTTTTTACCGTTAACCTCTAGAAATGTCTATCAAAACATTGTTTAAAATTAATAAACTGAAATCCAGTCGTTGAAAAATGTTGGCTGCTTTGTACCATACAACCATAATAATCAGGTCAAAACTAAATAGGGCACAGGACTATTAGACGCCATGTTTCCTTCTGGCCAGCTTGGGGTCCTGCGCCTGTCGATGACGTCACAGTGGATGATTGACTGTGCGTACCACTTACGAAAGTTACGTTATCACGTTCAAAAACATTCAGGTAGTAAAAAACACAAATTCAACAACAAAACTGCTAAACTCTTTCAAAAAATATGTGAAAGATCAGAATAAAAAAAGAAATGTAATATATTTTGGCCGAGCGGTATTGCCATAGTATGATGACATCATCGGCAGGAGCACGACTTCCAGCAGATCTGGAAAGTACAGAGTCAAAAAACTACAATCTAACCCTGAGGAGTCACGGTGAGGTCACATGCTTTCTGCCCCACAGGTAACAACATTTGTCCTAATGTTTTTTAATCTAGAGAAAGCCACAGTGATTTGGTGCAAAACTGCCCTAAAATGTATGTATGTGCTGCCCCCTAGCACCAGGAAACTACACACTACAACTTTAAATGGCATCACAGGTTTATTAAATGAGATATTGAGAGAGGCCAGGACCCAGTATTTCTCTTCTCTTTCGTCTAAAAAACTAATCTGTCACAGTCTGAGATGAGTTCATCCACTAACAGCTTCCACTCCTGAGTCTCTTCTGCAGGTGAGTGGGTCCGGAGAGCAGGACAGCTGCAGCTTGTCGTCTCATCAGCTGATCAGATATAAAAGGAGGACTAAGGGGCTCAACACACGGGAGGCGATCCGCGCCAGCGGCAAAGCCGTCTACGCGTTCTGTTCCATGGCGAAATCGAAACTTCCGTTGTTTTGTTTGGCTGTGTCAGGGTGGAGGGAATTAAGGTTGTTTAAGCGGTTCAGAGATAAAAAAAAGTGGTAGATATGTTTCACAAGGTGCTGCTAGAGTTATGTGAAATTTTACTTCTGACTTTACTATATAAAACATAATAATAATAATCAACTTCTCCTTCATGTTTGCTCGGAGATGTACGGAGCATCCTTTCTGCTCATTGGTCAGTGAATGAAACCTCCGTTGATTGGTCCTCGTCCGAGCGACAGCGATGAAAAGTTGAAAATATTTCAACTTTCTGGGATCGCGTCGCTGGGTTGCCTGTGCACGACACGTGCACGAGCACAAAATCTCAAATGCTCGTTTTTCGCGTTTCGCTTAGTAGGAGGGAGACCGGTGATTATCGCTTTGTCGCGCATGTCTCATTGAAAATGAACGGAGAGGCGAAGTCGCCTCCCGTGTGTCGAGCCCATAAGACAGCAACATCTTGCTGGATGGTTACTCAACCTTTGTACATTTGAACCTTGTCTTTAGTCTCTGGTATCGTTGTAACCCATCTTCAGTCTCCTGACTGAGTTTGCTTTAGAACTTTGTTTTTAACTCCTGTGTTTTGTACTTCACCTCAGGAACTCTGCTCTACAAACCTCCCCCTACCATACTTTCAGGGACAGCAGTAGCTCAGGAGGAAGAGCAGGTTGTCCAGTAATCATGAGGTGGCAAGCTCGATCCCGGCTCCGACCAGAGAATGCTGCTGTTGAGTCCTTGGGCAAGACATTTAACCCTCCTTGCCTGCTGGTGGTGGTCAGAGGGACCGGTGGCGCCTGTGTTCAGCAGGCCTAACCTTTGTCAGTGCGCCCCAGGGCCAGTGTGTGAATGGGTGTTATGCTGTGAAGCACCTTGGGGGGTTGTAGAATCCTAAGAAAGCGCTACACAAATACAGGCCATTTACTATGCATTGGATCTTGTCTCAGCCAAGCCTCAGTCTTCCATCTGACCGACCCGCTCTCCCACTGCTCACCCATCTGGACCCCTGGAACTTTTGTCTCTCACCTGCCTCGATCCTGGAATGTCACCCTGACTCCCCTCCCTCATGCTTCTGAATCTCCAGCAACCAAGCCTGCACAGACCTTTGTTTGTTCCCCATTTGCCCCACTTAGATGGCACACCTTTAGTTTTCCTTATGATAATAAACCTTTGTTACGCCCGGAACACACCAGACGCGGAAGCGCGACGATGCGCCGCGAAGCGCCGTGGAACTATAAGCGCTTCTAATCGGCGCCCTGGTTAACCTGCGCTCTCGGTCACATCAGCTGCGAAGCCTCATAAAGGCTTGCGCTGTGCAGCGATCGTTTCAGCATCAGCTCAAATTTTTTCATGAGCCGTGAGTGAGCCGCATCAATTCTGGCAGGAAGTCAAACCAAAGCAGAAGAGGCAGGTCGGTAAATTCAACAAAAAAAATTCGAAAAAATAATTTGATTGATCGATTGATAAATGTGATCATTTTTGTGTTTCTAAACAGACTAGATAGATGAAAATGACCACACACACACTCTCTCCTGTGGAGAAACATAGCATTTCCATAATTTTAAATGCCGTTTTTACAGCAAAAGATGGATTTATTAAATGTGAATACAAACAAGTACACGGCAGCAGGATCAGCGCAGTTTCTGATATCAACAAGCGGGGCAAACTGACTACACACACACACACACACACACACACACACACACACACACACACACACACACACACACACACACACACACACACACACACACACACACACACACACACACACACACACACACACACACACACACATGCTCAACAATGGCACGGGGACGGGTGGAAAACAGTAGGCGTGAGAAGAAGCGCTCATTGAAAATTCTCGCCTGATGTGACAGCGCACAAATTTCGTGAACGGTTCACTTTGCGGCGCTTTACAGCTGGTGTGTTCCGGGCATTACTCATTTTTACCTTGTGTTCTGCATATGATTCTGCATGTCTTGGGTCAGGAAACTCTCTTAAAACATTAACTTTTTCTTCAAGATTTTTTTAGACAATAAACACCCTGGTCTCTCCAGCTACAATGCATGTTGTGGTGTTCTGCAAATTAGATGCTGATGCATTTCTCAAGTAGTTTGTGACTAGGATTGTAGACATCAGAGCTAACATTTCTCCATCTTCTTTCATGCCCAGTGACAGTAGCCTGGCTTCACCTTGCACATGGCCTACTTTCAGAACATCATTGCCCTGTTCTGCGAGGCCAGACCCTCTACCTGACCTGCTGACATCATTTACATTTACAGCAGTTTTTTTAAATCTATTCCTCCATTTCTTGTCTTACTCATTAATGTCTCATTATCAACTGGGGTCTTTCCTTCCTTTTTCAAATATGCCATAGTCGAACCATCCTTTAAAAAAGCCAAACCCTTCAGATCTCAACAACTGCAGGCCAAATTCAAAGCTTCCTCTGATGTCTAAATTCCTGGAAAAGGCAGTGGGAGAACAGCTCACCACATTCCTGATGGAACAAAATATCTATCCATCCATTTTCAGCCGCTTATCCAGAGTTGGGCCACAGGGGCAGCAGCCTAAGATGAGAAGCCCAGACTTCCCTCTCCCCAGCTACCTAGGCCAGCGCTTCTGGGGGAATCCCAAGGTGTTCCCTGGCCAGCTGACAGACATAGTCCCCAGCGTGTCCTGGGTCTTCCCTTGGGTCTCCTCCCAGGTGGACATGCCCGAGCCCCCTCAAATGGCTCCTCTCGATGTGGAAGAGCAGCGGGTCTAATCCAAGCCCCTCCCGGATGACCAAACTTCTAACCCTATCTCTAAGGGAGAGCCCAGCCAACTTGCGGAGAAAATTCATTTGGGCCGCTTGTACCCATGATCTTGTTCTTTTGGTCACCAAATCAAGAGCTTTGCCTTCCAGACCAGTTCTCTCTTCACCATGACAGATCGATACAATGCCCGCATCGCTGCAGATGCAGCACCAAACTGCCTATTGATCTCACGTTCCATCTTTCCCTCACTTGTGAAAAAGACCCCAAGATACTTAAAATCCTCCACTTGAGGCAGGACTTTGTTCCTGACCTGGAGAAGGCATTCTACCATTTTCCGATTCAAGACCATGATCCCGTATTTAGAGGGGCTGAGGAACTCATCCCAGCCACTTCACACTCGGCTGCTAACCAGTCCAGTGAAAGCTGGAGATCACTGTCTGATCAAGTCAACAGGCCCACATCATCTGTAGAAAACAGAGACCTGATTGTTAGGCTACCAAAACAGATGCCCTCAACACCTTGGCTGCATCTGAAAATCCTGTCCATAAAAGTTACAAACAGAATAGGTGACAAAGGGCAGCTTTGGCAGAGTCCAACTCTCACTGGGAAAGAGCTTGACGTACTGCCGGCAATGCAGACCAAGCTCTGACACTGGCCATGCAGGGACCTAACAGCCCATATCAAAGGGCCTGGTACTCCATACTCCCAGAGTATCCACACATGTAGATTGGTTGGGTGAACTCCCAGGACCCCTCTGCCAGCACGTCCTCCAAGCTCTCCAAAAATGGTGGTAAGTCTGAACTGCAGGTTGATGCACAACTCAAACCACAGTAGTCAGGACCTGTCCCCCCACACGTAGGCAGAGGGAGGCTATCCTCTCATTTACCGGGGTAAGCCCCAACATACAGGCACCAAGATTGGGGGCAACTAGCTTGCTCGCCCCTGCCTGTGCCTCTCAGTGGGAGCAACTTCAGAGTGATAGTGTCCAATCCCTCTCAAGGAAACTAGTTCCGGAGCCAGAGCCATGTGTTGAGATGACAGACTATATTTAGCCTGAACTATTCAACATCGCACACCAACCTCTGTAGCCGAGGGTCAGACCACCAAGGTCCCTATTTTTGGCTACCACCCATCAAACACTGCATCCAACCCCACTGGCTCCTCCCATGAGTGGTGAATCCATAAGAAGGGGGACCCCACGTTTCCTCTTTGGGCTGTGCTTGGCCGGACTCTATGCGTGAAAGCCTGGAGACCAGGTGCTGGCCAACATGCCTTACCTCAAGCCTGGCTCCAGAGGGGGACCCAGTGACCCGCATCGGGGCGAGGGAACCTGTTTCGATGTATATTTTTCTTCATTAAGGGTCGTTTGGCTGCTCTTTGTCTGAACAAAATATCCTGAATAAATTTCAGTCAGGCTTTCATAAAACTATTAAAATAGCTAGCGAGCTGTGGGGACATCAGTCCTCAGAACTGGCTGTATGGACTTCTCACAGCTGAACCAACGAAGGAGTAACCGGATCTCTTCTACTTTTGTCAGGTTAGTGCTGAACAATGGTCGTGACACCGCTTTTCTTTGGAGATTACCGAGTGCTCTGTTTATTCTGATGAGCAACACAAATGAACAACATTAGTGGCTGCGAATTTAGCGTAATTATTGTTTCGAGACCGTTACTGCAGGTCACACACAGAACTATACACAACACTTTTTTTTCTAAGGCCGCCTGATGATCAGCAGCCTGATGCTTGGTCGGTCAATTCTCCACGGCTCCTCGTCCCCGCAGTTGCACATAATTATAAAAAAATACATAAGTCATTGGATGGCTAGAACTAGTTTGTTTCTGGACACACGGGGCAGATATTTAACATTTTTATTCTGTTACAAGACTTTTTCTGCCATAAAGTGAGTGGTTTATGCACTAGGATTGGCCGTTAACCACTGCCTTCTGCATATTTTATCAGCTGGAAACCTGTCAAATAAACGTTACTGCCTTTTGTTTGTCAACATGTGCAGCCTACAGCTCTACGTGTGTTAACCATGCTGAGGGGCTGGGGTGTGGACACGTGACATCATGCTTCAAGAGGTCTATACATAATACACCTGGGACAGTTAATCCACAATTTCAGGAATATATCATATCACCTGTATGCAGACGATATTCAACTGTACTGCTCCTTTTATGAGATTGAGTTATTGTCTCCACTCATTGACTGTCTGTGCCAAGTCAAACGTTGGCTGAGTATGAACTTTTTCCAGCTTAACCCTGGCAAAACTGAGGCCACCTGAGCACATTGGCCTGGTCAGCTTAGTGTCTGCAACCCAGGGCTTAATTTGAGCAATATCTTGCTGGAGCAAGATCCGGAAACTGTCTTATGGGCCATTCCCATCTGTACCGGGTCGGCCCGGGCCGGGTAGCGTAGGTTGTTTACATATCTGGGTGGCCTGGTATTTTTCCGGGCCAACCAAGGCTCATTCTCAGCCCTCTTCTCGAGGGGGTCTGCTTCAGGCCGACCAGGGCCAACACACCCACTGCTGACAGCAAATTCACACCTTCCATTAGAGCAAGCCTCTGATTGGTGGGTAGAATCAGCCCACATGGGCTTAAGACAAGGATGTGTGGAATCAACCGGGCCAGGCTGGGGCCGACTGGGGCTACCCAGCCCGGGCCGACCTGGTCCAGATGGGAATGGCCCATTATTTTGAAAGGACCGTTCCGGCAACTGTGCTAGGATCCAGCAACCCACGCGACCAACTTGTGCTATATGCAGCATTCAAATTACAGATGAGCTAAAGGGATCCCGGCCCACCCCAAAGGATGACAGGCTCCCCCGGAAGCCCTCCGCTTACACACCCAGGGGGAGCTCAAAAACGATCCTGGTTCTACTTATATTACACTATTTATATGGACTCTCTGGGGATTACTTTGAGCTGAGAGGCACAGAGCTCTTGTCGTTGACGCGCTCCAGACAGATGCATCCTGAGCTCTGCCACAGTAACAGTCTCAAAGTGTCGCCACCTCAAAAACAAAGTTAACACGTGATCATTTATGTCGGCTCACATCCTTTAATGATTTCTGACTTTCATCTGTGCCTGATGCGTTTGCTGCTGCGGAGCGGAGCGCATCACCTGTTTCGTCCTCCGGTGACTTTACCTCACTGGTACGGGGCGCAGCACGCGCTCCGCTATTTTTGCGCTCGGTAGATCTTTTTGAACTGCAGTTTAAAGGTAACTCATAAGGTGAAAAATATGAAGCCAGGTAGTTTTTCTTTAGGACTGAGAGGAGATGCAGGAAGATAATAAACAGAGACAGGACAGAAAAATAGTCAAATAAAAACAAGTTCGTTTTTGTACCTGGTGGTTGCAACAAACAGACACTATTGAAGGTAATCAGAAGTGAGGAACAGAAAAAATGAAATTATTCTTTCAACATTTAGATCAGCAGGAACTCTGAGAGGCTGCAGGTGTTCCAGTGAGTTTGCAGCCGCTGCACAGGGGAGAGGGCCGCGGTCAAGTGAGCAGTCATTTGTGAACCGGGAGAGGGCTGAAGCGGGGAACAGTAAAGATGCAAAGACTACCGTTGTTAAAAGAAATGTGTGTTAACTTAGAAAACTCCTGCGAGCCAACCGGAACCATGAAGCCCAAGTGTGGGGAATTTCCGTCCTGGGAGGGAGGGGGAGTGCGAGGAGACTGTACCGACGACATGAAATTGTTCAATCCCAAGTTTAAAATGCAGTAGCCACTGTTCTGCCACAGGGAGCAGCACTGAGATGTTTTTAGACCTAGATCTTTTTAGATCTTTTTTAGACCTGTCTTTCATCTTCCTGCATCTCCTCTAAACTCTCCAGAAAATCTGCTGCCTAGATTCTTACTTTTTCACCTCATCAGTTACCTTTGAGCAGATCAAAGGGACCTCCTGGCCGCAAAGCGCATTTCGATGCTGCGTCAGTGAGGTGAAATCACCGCAGCACACGATGAGCGGAGCGCGTCAGGAACGATTAAAAGACAGAATACCAGAGGATTTAAACAGATATGAACGATCATGATTTAATAATAAGGTTTTGTTGCACCACCTTGAGAATGTATCGTGCGCCGGACGCAGCGGGCGCACCTGAAAGATATCTAGCACCCCATAACTTGATCCCTGCTCCTGGATGAAAAACCGGACATTTTGATCAATGTAGGAGCCCCCCCCCCCCCCCCCCCCCCCCCCCCCCCCCCCCCGGACAGAGAGTGAAAACTGGGCATGTTCAGGGGAAAGTGGACGTATGGTCACCCTTGTATAACCAAACCTTTGAGCATTTGTGCCGTTTAGATGCCATGTTTTCTGCTTCTGTAAGCTAGGCAACGTGTGCGATGACGTCATTTGCGCCAACTGGAATTGATGAGGGGAATCGTTGAAAAGGTGGTGAACCATTCCTAGTAATTCAAAATATGGAAACCAGTTTTTAATTCTTTATTTTTCAAATATATTTTAATTATGTGTAGATTTCTTTTTATGCCTCTACGCTTTAAAGGTCTGTGTTTCTACTGATTCTGTGGTAGGTTTTTATTGATTTTACTTCTACGAAGCTTTCTTTTATGTTTTAGCGCCTTATAGGTTTGTGTTTATGTTGACTGGTTGGTAGCCACTCTCTATGGCATTGATGTGATTGTTTTATCACAAATATTAGTTTTCTGTTGTTGTGAAGCACATTGTGATTCTGCGAGAGATGCAGTAGAAGTAAACTTTACTTGCTTATTAAAGGAAAAAGCGTGAACCATTGGGTAATAATGGAATTGAAAGGAGCAGGAAATCCTTTTGGTCTCACCTGCATTCTGACTAGCTGTAAGCTCATCAGTCCTGAACTTGTCTGAGGTTTTAGATTCAGGTTTGTTTTATTGTTATGTATTGATCTAAGATGCTGCAGCATTGTTTGTTTAATGATTAAAGTAGAAGATTAAAGAAGTAAAGCACAATATTGTATTCTACTTTACTTAACTACAGAAACAAAATGACTAAATTAGACATTCATTTGGATTTTAAATAAGTTCAGTGTAAAATCTTAACTGCAGTAGAATAACCAAACTCACAGGACTGCGGCTATGCCTGATGAGAGCAGCTAAGAGGCGACTAGCTTCTCCTTTGACACCTGCATGGTCTTTAGCTTCACACCACTCCAGCACTCGTGCTAGCAGCACAGCATCTTTTCCTAGTTTCAAGGCTGCTTCCTCTGAAATGCAGAACAAGAATGGAAGGGAAAGTCATTTCAAAACGAAGAAAAAACAAAATTAAATGAAATCCTACAAAGGATTACAACTACAGTTGTGGCCAAAAGTTTTGAGAATGACACAAATATTAGTTTTCACAAAGTTAGCTGCCAAACTGCTTTTAGATCTTTGTTTCAGTTGTTTCTGTGATGTACTGAAATATGATTACGAGCACTACATATGTTTCAAAGGCTTTTATCAACAGTTACATGACATTTATGCAAATAGTCGGTATTTGCAGTGTTGGCCCTTCTTTTTCTGGACCTCTGCTTTCAATCAACTTCTGGGCCAAATCCTGACTGATAGTAACCCATTCTTTCATGATCACTTCTTGGAGTTTGTCAGAATTAGTGGGCTTTTGTTTGTCCACCAGCCTCTTGAGGATTGATCAAAAGTTCTCAATGGAATTAGGATCTGGACAGTTTCCAGGCCATGGACCCAAAATTTCAACGTTTTAGTCCCCGAGCCACTGAGTTAACACTTTTGCCTTATGGCACGGTGCTGGAAAATGCATTGTTCTTCACCAAACTGTTGTTGGATTGTTGGAAGAAGTTGCTGTCGGAGGGTGTTTTGGTACCATTCTTTATTCATGGCTGTGTTTTTGGGCTAAATTGTGCGTGAACCCACTCCCTTAGATGAGAAGCAACTCCACACATGAATGGTCTCAAGATGCTTTACTGTTGGCATGACACAGGACTGATGGTAGCGCTCACCTTTTCTTCTCCGGACAAGCCTTCTTTCAGATGCCGCAAACAATCGGAAAGGGGCTTCATTGGACAATGTGACTTTGCCTCAGTGCTCAGCAGCCCATTCGCTATACTTTTTGCAGAAGGTTAATCTGTCCCTGATGCTTCTTTGCTGCCCTTCCTGACACCAGGCCATCATCCAGAAGTCTTTGCCTCACCATGCGTGCAGATGAGCTCACGCCTGCCTGTGGCCATTCCCGAGCAAGCGCTGCACTGGTGGCACTTCGATCCCGCAGCTGAATCCTCGTTAGGAGACGATCCTGGTGCTTGCTTGACTTTCTTGGACACCCTAAAGCCTTCTTAACAAGAATTGAACCTCTTTCTTTGAAGACCTTGATGATCCTATAAATTGTTGATTTAGGAACAATCCTAGTAGCCACAATATCTTTGCCTGTGAAGCCTCCTCCTGCCAGCAGAACTCCACTACCCAGCATTCCCAGTGCCAGACTTCCGGCTTACGTCACATGCCATCTCTACAAAGGGAAGTACCGCACAACACCAGCTCACTCAGTCATCGTTTCTCACGGAACCGTGTTCTGAGTTCCGACCAACCCTAGCCTGATTACTCAGCTTGTTCTGACCGGATCAGCCCGAGACATCCAGCCTGCCGACTTCCTGTAAGTCCGTCTTGTTTACTTTTGGAGCCGCCGTGCGCTCACTCTCCCATACGCATTGCTCACCTAGATCAAACCGCGTGCCAGTCTCGCCCAGCGTCAGTCACTCCGCGCTTGGGTCTAAAGACGGGCGACACTCAAACTCCCGCTAAATCAGCTCAACTCAAACTAAGCCTGACACAACTCTTCCACTTTCCCATATTTGTGTCGTTCTCAATACTTTTGGCCACAACTGTACATCCAGTGCTTGTGTTCAACATAGTTCAGGATTAGTGCTCAAACAAGGGATCAAATCTTTGTGTTTCTGATGAATGAATGAAATTATTTTACATATCTTTGAACAGTTTCCCCACCTTGTCCGTCCACCATCATGCGTAGTGTTCCCAGCAGCTTGAACTGGACTGGTGGCATGTCGGTACGCAGCAGTGTCTTTATCCTTTCAGTCACCCCATCCTTCAGCATTTGCACTTTGTTGGTTGCTGAAAAAAAGTGTGCGTGTGCATTCGTGTGTGTGTGTGTGTGTGTGTGTGTTAAGATTTTACAGATAGACATACTTTAAAGAAAAACGAGCAGCACCTGAGCAGTACGCTCTAAATCTGGAGGTAACGACTGTTTACACACCGTCTGTACTTGTGTCACCTAAACTGCAAAACCATTTTCACTGAAAGCCAGTGAAATATTAAGTAAGGGAGTTAAAAATATATTCTAATTCCTGTGAAATGCCTCAGGACTGTGATGTAACTGGCAACAGAAAGAAAGCTTTTCCACGTGTTTCACCAAAATTGCCAGGGTTTTTTTTTATTTTGCATTTGCTTTCCAAAGAAATGAGTTTAACATTGAAAATAAATCCATTTGGGTGGAGCTTCATGCTATAAACACATATAGTACATGTTCTATTACTTACACAGGATTGGTCATTTATTCATCTGTTTTGCATGTGTGTGAGACGGAACCTACCAGGGATGGCTAGGTTCCTCAGTGCACTGAGCCCAGCATGTTGAACAGCTACGTCTCCTTCATCTACATGCTGCTCCAACAAGGTCAGGATGGGTAAAACCACACCGAGATCCATCATTTTCACACAGTTACTGTCTAACAATCAAGACCAGGGAAAAACTTAATATCTGTGTCATCCTATTGCTCACATAAATGCAGGATTTAAAAAATGAAGCAAAATGACATTCTATCAGTCAGAGCGTGCTTTATAGGGGAGCTATATTCACTTAGTTTGTGTTTGCTCATGAGCAGAATGCTGCATGCTGCTTTTGGGAAATTTTAATTCAAGTAGTGAGCTTTTACTTTTACTGAAACATGTCTCACCATTTCTTGCAAAGTTGGCGATGGCCAGAGCTCCAGCCAGCTGCAGCTGGGTGTTGGAACTCTGCAACCACGACAGAATATTCTGATATACTATGCCTGATCCCTCCGCAAAACACTTCTGCATGGACTCATCTGAAACACACAAACACACTTTTAAAGAGGGGCGTTCCGATCGCATTTTTTACTCCTGATCCCATTCCGAGTCATTTGATTTGAGTGTCTGCTAATATCGATCCGATACCTCAGCAAAGCAAAAAAAGAAAAAAGGAAAACACGTCCAAGTTTTTATTTTATTAACCCTTTGATGCATGAATTATGAAATCTTCAACCATGATTTTTTAACAATTTTTTTCATTTGTCTTTAGGTGTGAATGAAACAAATTTCAACAAATTTTTTTTGTAAAATTTTATAATTTACAAATAATTTATTACATGTCCATCTCAGTGGACAGCGTGCATTCTGAGCATGAAATATGTTGGCTTGGCTTACTGAAGTCCACATGGAGGGGCTCAAATGCAATAAAGTCTTCAACAGCTGTGCTTAATAGCAAAAACAAATAAATAACAGTTTTGAGTACCTGTCCACTGTAGTGACCATTATGCACCAAAGGGTTAAAAAAAATGTAGGTATTTCTGTCTTTCTGTATTTATGTCATTTCCTTAGTTATCTGCCAACAAACATCACTTGTTTAGGAAACACATTAATTAAAAAACGAGTTAATATTATGAATGCATTTAAAAGTAGTGGCGTTCCTCATATTTCTAATTATTTATGGCCCCATTATGTGGCTGTGATGCACGTTACCGTGACAGAGGGGCACACGGCACCATGGCCAGCAGGCTAAGTTTATCTGCATAACACCAGTAGCTATCAGCACACCACAGACATCATATACGCGACATGGACTGAGCTGCCATCTTGGATGGGTCTCCAATCGCCCCAATGTGTTTATTTCTACTAAAGAAGATGTTTACTCAAGTAAAAAACACATTTTATTACCATTTTTCTGGTCCTGGAATGAATAAAACTGCTGAGATTGGCTTATATGAGGGATTTAGTGTAAAGATCTTCTCAAATGTTTTGTTTAGACCGCAGATGTATTATAGCTTAAAAGTTATGTTATTAGTCCTTTACTGTTAGACAACACTAATATTGGCACATGTCATTTAAAGTGATCTAATCACTGACATGAATAATAAACTTGAAAGCATCAAGACAACAGCATAAAAAATAATAAAATCCAGATCATCTCCACTAAACTAGAATACTTCATAAACTTGTAGACATAAATCTGCTTTATCACTTACCTCCTAAAAGCAGGGACACCATAAGGTTGGAGGCGATCTTTATACTGCAGAGGTCATGGGGGTCAGAGTGTCCCTGCAGATGCTGAATCATCTCTGATAAAGCCTCTGGTACTCCACACTCTACAAACTGCAACTTCAGTGTATCTGGTGGCACAGCAGATCCAGATCAGCACAACACTGGTGTAGCGGTTCAAAGGGCAAGTTTTCATCAACATGAACAGAAATTAACTTTTCATTTGCAGCCACAAACTGCGTCACACATCCAGGGATGCATTACAGCTGTCTGGTCTCCAAACCAGAGAGCTCTGCACCAGGCCTTGTTACCGGTCAAAGGAGACATAACGTCTTCGGCCAAGGTCTCATGCAAAAGCGAGACTCCTGCATTTTTCACTCAGAATAAAGTTCACTTTCCTTAAAGTTCATAAGTAACTTTACAACTTATAGGTTGAAATAATCAAATGTGTTGAATGAACACGATGTAAATCCCAAAGTCTTTGAATAATCTGTGCTTTAATCAATGATTTGTTTAAAATGAATATTGTTCCTGAAGTGATCCATTCCAGATCTTATCTACACCTCATTTATCAGGCTTGCTTACGCACAAAACGGGGTCGGAAAACTGCGTAAGCAACTTTCCACGCAAACGTTGGGATTTATGAAAGAAAACTTAGTGGAAAAATGTGCGCAACTTTACGTTGACTAAGGACCTGGCTTACGCACATTTGGGACATGGAAAGCACCTGCAGTGCTGCTGCTGAGAAGGATAAAATTATGAAATCCTGCAGCATTATCAGTTGTACTGCTTCATTTTCACACAGATCTCTCTGAAGAATTCACAACATTGACGGCTTCAGCAACGCTGTGCCACTCCGTGGATTTTCTCTTATTTGTTTTGCAAAAGTACTTCCTTTCATTTCTCCACCTCACCCACAAGTACCTCCATTTCTGCTTCTGTGAAATTGCGCCTCCTTGATCTGCCTTGATCTACGGTCGCCATGTCATTGGCGGAGCGCTGCAACAGCCAGCTTATGTATATGCATGAGATCCACAAGGCACTTTGCATCGACTCTTTATGGCAGTAAGTGGGCATGGTGAGGGCGGGACGTGACTAAAATGCAGCTGAGAAACATTCTCGTTAGTCTCCAATTAATGAAGCGGAGATTGTGTGCAGCCAGTGGCGGTTTTACCATTAGGCATAGGTCTGCGGCCGCCTGGGGCCCACTTGTTGCTTGCCAAGTGCCATAAGACCACAAATAAGATTAAGAAGAGAGGCGGGAGCGTTCGTAACAAACTCAAAGCGATAGTCAAAACATTAAGCATAAAATGGAGTTATCCTAGTGGCTCCAATAAGAGAAAGAAGCAGCATGCTTCATAAAAGCTTTTATTTTCACATCTGAAAGTGACGTCATTTTTCTATGTAAACATCAAACGGAAGCAGAAAGGAAAGGCAATGGAACATGTTTAAAGGGAGGAAAACAGACCAAAATGGAAAATAGAAAAAAAAAACAAAAGCAAAAGCACAGGAGCACTGACAGGAAAAAGAAAGCAGAGCAAATATTGAAAGCGCACAAAGGGAGGGAAATACAGGAAAAAAAGAGGAGGACTGAAAATGTAACACGTTTAAAAAAAATACCGCGATAATACCGAAAACTGTGATAATTTTGGTCACAACAACCATGAGGTTAAATTTTCACACCGTGACAACCCTACCGGGGTGTTTCCTACTTCTTTTAAAAAAGCGGTTGTGCAACCAATTTAAAAAAAAAAAAACCTGGTTTAGACAACTCAAAACTTGCAAACTTCCGGCCAATCTCTAAATTACGGTTTTGTCTAAGGTCCTTGAAAAGATTGTCTATTCACAGATTACAGCTCACATGAATAGCTTTTCTCTGGTTGATGTGTTCCAGTCTGGGTTTAGGCCACTTCACAGTACTGAATCAGCCCTTCTTCGCGTGACCAATGGCATCCTGGTGGCTTCTGACTCTGGGTCTCCTGTTTTGCTCCTTCTATTAGATCTTTCTGCAGCATTTGATACCGTTGACCATGATATTTTGCTGGATAGACTTGAGTCATGGGTAGGGCTTAGGGGTACCTCACTTCAATGGTTCGGCTCATACCTGTCAAACTGAGTTTTCAAGGATCAGTTGGGTAATTGTTCCTCTACATTCCTTCCACTTCCATGGGGAGTCCCACAGGGATCTGTGCTTGGGCCTCTCCTGTTTTCAGTTTGCATCCTCCCCCTAGGTTCCATCCTGAGGAAATATGGCCTGGGCTATCATATCTATGCAGATGATTGCCAGATCTACCTGGCTTTGAACAAACCAGGCTCCCTCTCTTTTCTGGACCAATGTTTGGCTGAAGTGAGGGTTTGGCTTGCCAACAATTTCCTGAAGCTGAATGATTCTAAGTCGGAGGCACTCCTCATGACCCCTAACAAAACCACACACTTGTCTTCTGATTTGGACACCCTCCCATATGACCTCAAGCAGGGTGTTACCAACCTGGGGGTGAAACAGGATACACACTTTTCCATGGGCCCTCAGATTAACGCAGTGGTCAGATCGTGTTTTTACCAGCTGCGCAGACTAGTTCGCTTTAAACCGATCCTGAAACAAGCACACCTGGAATCCGTAATTTATACTTTTATCATCTCCCGACTGGATTACGCAAATTCCATTTTATTTGGTTTACCTGCCTCCGCTCTTAACAGGCTTCAGGTCATACAGAACGCGGCAGCCAGGTTTTTAACAAACACCTCTAGAAGAGACCATATCACACCTGTACTGGTGCAGCTCCACTGGCTACCCGTAAACTTCAGAGTCATGTTTAAAATCCTGATTTTTGTTTTTAAGGCTCTGAATGGTCTGGCTCTGGATTACCTGTCTGATCTTGTGACTCGTTATGTGCCAAACCGGGCATTGAGATCTGCTGATTGCCTACTGCTTCACGTTCCAACAATGAAATACAAAACGCGGGGGCAGCGTGCTTTTGTCTATGCTGCTCCGACACTCTGGAATGCTCTTCCTCTTTCAGTGAGGCTGGCACCATCCCTCCTCCGGTTCAAGTCGCTACTTAAGGCTCACTTTTATGGCCAGGCATTTTAAAATCCCTGACATTTATTATTTTACTATGTGTCTTTTTATTGACCGTGATTATCTGCTTTGTTGTGTATTTTATTGTTAACCGTGTTTTGTTTTTATATTGTGTTTTAACTTTTTATTCTGTACAGCACTTTGGTCAGCTGCCATGCCATTTTTAAATGTGCTTTATAAATAAAGTTGGTATGGTATGGTATGGATATCATATATTGTATATGAAGATATGACTGTAATAATAAGTAAAGGTTATCAGCTGTTGTTTTAATGTGCTCATAAGAAACGTGAGGAAAATAACACAAATCACATTACTCTTTATGGCCTATATAGTTGTCATCATCAACGTAACATGATTCACAGAATACATGTGACCAACTAACATTTCATGTTCAACCACCGGATGGTTGGATCAGAATGTGAACCAATCAGATCTTAGATCAGGTGAGAGCCAGGCGTTTCCTGTCATGCCCTAGGTTTCGCAGCCGGTGGAGAGCAACTGCAGCGCCTTGCTCCAAAATCTGTGGCTGCCTTGATCCCATGAGGTTATTGTTGCCTACGTATGCATGACGTCAGAGCAAGTCGGCGTCAAGTCGGACACAAATCTAACCGGCATGCACTGCTCGCCGATCACCGGTGATCGAATCTGCGCAGAACTGGCTCATCTCGAACAAGGCCTCTCTCTTTCTACAGCTCTGCCCGGAGCTTGCTCTGCAGTCACGCGGGTCTGATTTTCATTAATTAATCAGAATTTTAGGCTTTTAATACACTTAAACAGAAGAGTGAGAAAACAATTCACCCCCCTCAGAGTTGAGTGTAAACTAGATCATTTAAACCAAAAACATGTTTTGGTACCAGGCTGTAAACATGTTTATTTCTGCAGTGAAATTGGTATTTTTAACATGGGAGTCAATGAGGATTTGCTCGCTTCTGACACCAGCCCCCAGCGGATGAGGGTGGAACTGCAATTTTTGTCACTTCCTGTTTTGCTTCATATCCAGACCTGAATCATGGAGGCTTGGCCACAACTCACTGGGCATGGAGAAGACAGAGACACACGCACATCCACATATCCACACAGCACCAAGTAGTGTTTCTATGGTTGCATTGTGATTTCTTAGTAAATATTCTATTTAATAAGAGATACACTTAGAAAAAAATTCAATTTCTTGTTTAGATTGTTGACTTCTTTGGAGGGATTGCAAATCCATAAACCACAATTGAAGTCATTTCCCTTAGAGGCCTTTTATTGCTGATTAGTCTGTAGTTTGTATTTTTCTTGTTTTCTATGTATTGAATTTGAATGCATGTGTTTTTATGAACTGCTCCAGCAGTTTTTTTCTCGTAGGGATGGCTGAGGGAGGAAAACCTCCTTAATTTATTTTCTTTTTCCAACAGAGAGCTGATAGTATGGATTTTTTGTACATCATACTCTTTCATTCGAAAGCCCTGTTCTTTTCTCTGTGTTCTTGGTTGGGACGGGGCTCTTTATATTGTTGATGATGATGGAGGCATCTGAAGGTTGTTTCAATGGCAAGCCTTTTACTTTTCCAGCCCCTCAAAGTGTCTGGATGCTGTTTTGCCTTCCCTCTTCTCTAGGTGTGGTGCACTGATCTGATAGGTCAGCGTGCACCTCCCACATAGCGCACACCTGAAATACAGTGTGCCATCCCTCCAACGGATCACTGCTTGTGAAGAAAGCTTCAAGAAATAACCGTCCTGTACAAAAAAAGATATTTTTTCTGTTTTTCCACCTTACACCCTTGTCTGTTTAGGAGGGAATTCAAATCCTCATTAGTTTTATGAAGACATGCTGAACTTTGTTTATTGTTTTATTTGTCTTGGTTTATCACCAGCTTTGTTTACTAATCAACCTAGTGTCTTTTCTATGGGATTAATATTTACGAGTACAAGAGAAGTCATTTTTACTCTTTTATTCCAAAAACTATTTAGTTTAATCCAGATTTAATCTTCAACTCTTTAAATATCAAAGCACATCATGTAGTTGCAGATAAGTGGCTTCCTGTCTTTTCAAAATCTTCTTCCAAACAAATTTAAAACAAGGTAATTTTATTTATATATGAACCAGCCAATAAGAATTAAAGGTAGAACTGTGTTGCAGAACTAAATGTTTATATGATGTACTTGTCTTAGAAATAGATTTTTGATTTCAATTTTTGGTTCAAGCAGTTAAAAGTATATTTTTGCTAGTAAATTATTGTATCTTACGTTGTAAAGCTATTTTGTGCAGAAGATTTGTTTATTTTGGCAAAAGAAATATTTTTGTTGCACTGCAATTATAGCAAGGTGTGAGACCTGTTTATGAAGAAACACGTAAACAACTTTCTCTGAGCCATCCGCAGCAGCTGCAGCCATGTCAGTTACCAGTTATACAAGATAATTTGTTACACTTGTGTTGGAGTATTATGTATATTTGTGATGTATGGGGTTTTAATTATTTTGTATGTTAATTTAGAATGTGTCTAGGACCTCTGAGGTGGCCCGTAAGGTAATTTTTGTTAAAAGCACCTGTTTTACTTCTATGAAATAAAGTGTCTAAGCTGTTGTTTTTGTGCTTGTAGTTTTCAGTTTAGTCAGCATTGAACGAATAAAGCAAAGCGCCTATCTCGAGGAAGCTGAGCCAGTGTTTTTTTGGAGCTACTTGTGATTTCATCAATTCTTCACTTATAGGTTTACATCTGTCTTTCTCTTATCAAACTTCAGGTCTTACCGCTCTCTCCCAGTGAACCCAGTATTTCCAGGATGACATGACGCCGTTCAGAATCAGGAGCACGTTTCAGCTGATTGGTCAGTACCTCGGCCACATCCAGCTCTGCCAAGGCCTCTCGTGCACTTTCTGCAAATGCCAGGTTTACAGTGTTAGCAGGGACAAAATGTCAAAGGTAATCGAGTGAGTGAGTGATGTTTATTTGACATGGGCACAGCAATTACATTGGACGAACCAGATGCATTGTTTAGTGTGTTAGCACACGTGCTAATTTGCAACACTCCATAGAACCTTTCTAAAAAGTAGACTACATTTAAATAAAATACAAAGAGATCAACAATAAATCAAAGAGAAAACAGATTAAAATTGCCAACAATTTTCAATAAAAAAGAATAAAACAAGGCAATTTGAGCAGCAATGCAAGACTTTAAAACTATTCATGTAGACATTGTTGTTTAGATTTAACCATTTTTTGAGTTCTTTGTTAAAAACGTTACTGTCTGTTTCTAGTTTTAGGTCAACAGGTAGAGAGTTCCAAAGTTTGGCCCCCTTTACAGAAAGAGCAGACTGACCAAAAGAAGTCTTGCACCGCGGGACGAGACAATCGCCGCAGGTGGAGGCTCGAGTGATCGTTCTATGAGAGCTCTGACGTCTGATGGCCACAGTAGAGAACAGTTTAGACAAGATATCATTTAGACAATTGAAAAAGAATCTTAGAGTGCTAAAATTAATAAAATTTTCAAAAGTGAGAAGATTATGTTTCCTTAAAATGCGGCAATGATGCCATTTCAATGGTTTCTGGTCCATAATTTTTATTGCTTGCTTGTATATTAAGACTATAGGTTTTAGAGTGGTGGATGAAGCCTGTGACCATGATGTAATGCAGTATGATAAGTGGGGAAAGATCAGTGCATGCATGTACAGTTTAGCAGTTTGGTGTGACAGGTTCCTTCTGATAAAACGGAAGCAGTTTAAATTTGTTTTAACCTTATTACAGACGTGCTTAACCTGACTGTCAAATTTTAGGTGTTTGTCTAGGATGATCCCAAGGTACTTCACATCACTCCTTACTTCAATGATTTCCTCTTTAATCCTAACCTGAAATAGTTCCTGATCAGGCCTGTTTCTCATGGAGAAGCATATGGACACAGTTTTTTTTAACATTAAGAGTTAGGTGGGATGACTCTAGCCATTCTGAGATGTCTGATAAAGCCTGCATCAGGCTGTTACTTTTGAACTGCCTCAGCTAAAATTCTTCAGTTAGACAAAATCATTATTTAAACATTTTAAACAGGCAATTCATGCAGATTGCTTATTTTTTTAACACATCTGTTACAACATGTTGTTTTTTAATCACACAGACGAGATAGATTTAAGGAGAGCAAGGTGTTTCCCTCAGCCATCCCTACGAGAAAAAACTGCTGGAGCAGTTCATAAAAACACATGCATTCTAATAATGATGACTCTTGCTTTCCTTAGCTTTGTCATTTTAGAAACTCAGTATCTATTAGCATCTAACAGGGCTTTTAACAGAAAAAGCTGTAAAAACACTAAGATGTGAATACATATGTTGTATTTATTACTGGTAAAAACTGCTTGTCTAGCTTAAACTAACAGAAAAACATAGCTAAAATTAAAGATGTCTATGAGTAGATAAAACGTAGATCTAGAGAACGTTAAACAGGCGAAACATTAAAGTGTTGCTGTCACACAAATCTGAATAAGCTGGTTTTGTGATTTTCTCTGAGATAGCACATGAACTAAATGTAGAGAAAAAAAGAGACATGAGGGCATTGTTGTAAAGTTTTTAGGATCATCAACACCAACAACACGACACAAACAACACCAACGACACAAACTAATACCGCTTCCACATCTGGGTCAGTACGATATGGGCTGGATAGCTTTTTTTGGTTTCACCTCTGGGTAATGTAAAATTTTCACTCTTTGTTATATTGCAGCAATTTGCAAAAATCAATTGAATGCATTAATTTTCTCCATAATGTACACACAGCACCCCATACTGACAGAAAAACACAGAATTTTAGAAATGTCTGCAGAGTTATTAAAAAGAAAAACTGAAATATTACATGGTCCTAAGAATTCAGAACATTTGCTCAGTTATCCGTACCCAGTGTATGTGCATTTTCAGTTCTGAAGTGACTCTTTTTTTCAGGCCTCATCCTTTGCGATCTAACTGGGACTGAGGTGAAACTACGGACTGATTGGCCGGCTGAAATTTATGCCTACTGCCTCCGATTGGTGAATAGGATCAGCCAGCGGGGCTTCCCGCATTCGTGATTCATTATTATTCTGGATGCCGTGGGGTCAACATCTCTCCCGTTCCAGTGTGGCGGCAGACTGCTGCTCAGTGGGAAGAGAGGAGAGAGGAACGGCCGTGAGCACCACAGCTCAAAGTCGCATTTGTTTACTTTAGCTTGTGTTAAGAGAACACACAGAGCAATATCAGTGAGAGAATAGGAATCAAATGAATTAAAAAAAAGTGGTTCAGTCTCCTAAATTAACTCAGCTCATGCCCACCTTTGTTTATCTTATTAACAAGGACACCACAGACGTTTTCTTGCCTCTTTTGCGCCACCCACATGCTCGGGGATCTCCCCATTTCTGCTGTGGGAACCAGTGCGAACAAAATTGATCCAGCCTCGGTCAAACTGACCCAGATGTGTTAATGCCTTAAGTGTCAGAACTGAAGAAGCTTCTTGTGTGAGGGGAGGAACGTATTCAAGGAAAACAAGAAAATCCTTGCCTAGAAATTTAAACAGACAGTAGCGAAAGCAAAATGATATTTCTCTGCAGGTCGGTCTAGCCACACACTATTAGAGCCTCAGCAGGCCCGAACAGTCTTGTGTTATGCCAATCAATAAATATGTTCAGTAATATATGAAGTAGCATGTAAAGATTTTGATATAACCAAATAAAGCTTCTAGGGCACATATGTCCGAGTCAAGGCCCGCGGGCCAGATGCAACCCGCGGAGCATTTTTATGTGGCCCGCGAGATAAATATCAAAAACATATTAAAACTGGCCCGCTGGCCGATTTTACCGCAAAGACTTCAACTCCCATGATGCTTTACGGTGTCAGCGCGGAGCCGACGAAGCCCCCTCCTTTGTGTTTTTTCAGCGCCTGCTGCCGGTCTCTGCAGCTCCGCTGTCTCGGACAAACACTCCTCTCACTCAGCGCCGAGTTCACTCAGCTATTTTCTGACGTTGAAGCCCAGAAACGGAGATTCTAGCCGCTCAGTAATGTGTTCACGACTGAAAGAGAAAGTTTTCCGACTAACTTCCAGACAGAGCTGATATAACTCCAGCGAACAGCGACACGCACAAACCAGCATGGCTCTGTGGTTGTGTTTCCTCCCCGACACACAACAACGCGGTCAAGCTGCTCAGACATGTTCATCAGCACAATCCTATGTGAGCACCTGTTGTCATCTAATGTTGTCATTATTATGATGAAGATAAACAAAACAACAGGAGTCTCCTCCTCAGCTCAGATCAGCCCCATGATGCAGGTATCTGGCTGGAACAGGTGAGCATCACAGTAAACCAGTGGAGCAAACTGAGCTTTAAATATGTTGGTTTTATGCTCTTTTTCTGCTCCAAAACATGAAAGTTAACAGGTGAGATGTTGCATTTTCATTTAAGATAAAATGATATTTTTATTTTGTTGTTGGCCCGTGAGAAAAGATTTAACCTACAGTAAACAGGAAGTGGAAAGATTGCAGATAGATGAATAGAATAGAAAATGCCTTTATTGTTCCTCAGTGGGGAAAGCTAGATGTCACAGCAGCGATGACACTTATTACAGGAGAAAAAAGGAGAATAAAAAATAAGAAAAATGAATAAACAAGAAAACATAAATCCTGAATAAATTTTAAAAATGCTGATTATACCACAAGTAATGAATACCACTGATGCCTTTTATTTAAAACTGACTTGCTCGTGTGTAATTTGGTTATTCCACATTCAGTGTTAATGCAGAAATAAGTTTGTTTCCAAATTTAAATGTTCAAAATTGCATATATGTTGATAAAGAAAATGTGCAAATTTGCCGTCACTTTTTCAAAAAATATTAAGTTTGGCCCTCGACTCCGTCCCAGAGTTTCATTTCGGCCCCTTGTGAGTTTGAGTTTGACACCCCTGTTCTAGGGTGTTTGGAATTAAAGGGTCTTACTCCACAAGTAGAGATGACCATCAAAGAATAGAAAGGAAATTATTTTTAAAAGTTATTAATATTAGATTGAATATTTTGTTGTTCCAAAAAAGGGTTGAGTGGTTTTTGTGAAATTTTGGATATACAGGTGTTAAACAAGACAGACACAATTTGTTAACACCCATGTAGCTTTGAATGCTGTCAGCCCAGCTAAAGCATAGGCTCGACTCATCTCTACCCACCCCAGCCTGTTCCACACTGCCTTCAGAATGCGGACATGATTGAGCACATGAACGGTCTCCAAAACTGGCGTGAAAAATAGATATCAGTGATGTCATGAGCGCATCTCTGAGCACGTGGTTGGGCAAAAGAGCACAGTTAAACTAGAAGAACAAATCAGAGCTGGGTGGATGGACGGAGCAAACGACCAGGCCCTTTCAACCAAAATAATAAAGGTCATGATAACATGGCCATGGCTGGCCTTGCATTTGGTAACTAGGCCTTCAATGCCGGTTTACTGACCGTTTTTTTCAATCACTTTGCAACAATTCTCACAACATTGATGTCTTTTTTAACAACTCAAGACACAAAACATAACGGCCATCACTTGTAACACAGTGTTACAAGGGTAACACTGCCCAGTGTTCAAAACACTGCATTGTGCATTCACGTGTTTAAAGACATCTGGCACTTGCACAAACATGGCTTCAAAAAACAAAAACCATTGAAACAAAACTCTAGATCACCCACACACGAGTAACCATAGTTTCAATAAGCCATTGTTTAAATAATCATTTAATATTGTACCACAAAATAGGCGATACAAGTTTCATAATTCAAATATTCAAAGTTTTATTCAAAGTTGTAATATGCAAAGTGAAAGTAGAAAAATGTTTTTCTGCACAGTAAAATTCTTACGTTGCTGCCAACACTAGATGCCAAAACAACAACAAAG